ATAATTTTAATATCTTAGAAAGCAATGCAATATTTCTGCTTTTTTTTCAAGTAATTGTATTATGATTTAAGTAATTATATCTTATTTTTTAAGTAATTGTATTAAGACATTTTGTTCATTATAAAATCAGTTCTTTTCTAGGAAAATTGGTTATGGTAGTGTAAAGTTGAAAGAAATTTTACCGCTAGGGAAACATTTTTGGGAATTAGTAACAGTGAGTCGATATTGTCAAGCAACAAAGTATCCAATTTCATTTGAACAGCTCGATCATCCATTTGGTAGATTTTTTTTTTTAAATTACTTCTTTTTTTTAAATCCTAAAATTAATTTAATCAGCTTTTTCAAATGTTTAACGCGTAAATGTACTGCAAATTGCATCATTTCTTTTCCTATCATAAATAAATTATTAAGATATCAAATTTGACATCTAAATTTCGAAAAATTTTTGACAGGTTTTGTGATATATTATACGACACTAAAATTTGGTGGAACAAATCTTACAATACCGTTAATGAAAGATCGTAGCTATGTATTTATTAATAATGAATTACAGGTATATTTTAAAAGGAACTTTAATTTAATTACCTTATTTCATTACTCAATTAAGTGAATGTAATCATTATTAAATTAATTAATTTTCAAGACAACTTCATTTCGTCTAATTTTAATTTTAAAATTAAAACAAAGTTAATACATTTCAAATTTTTTATCCAAGAAAAATTTTCAGGGAATATTGGTGAATAGATTTGATAATTATTGGAAACACTGGGTATATTTAAAAGATGCAAGGGTAAGTGCAACACTTGGAATATTAGTAGAAAATCAAGGACGTCAAACAATACCAACGATCAATGATTTCAAAGTATTTCATTTTTCTTTGTAAAATTTGAAAAAATCAATTAAAATTCATCAATTAATTGAAATTCTGATGAATGTTCGCTTCTGGTTTATTCAACTAGCTATGACGTTTTAGAGGATGAAAAATTATTTAAATTATATGAAATTCGTTGTTACAACTCATAATTACAACGATAATTCATAATAATGATAATTTTATTCTAATCAGTATTGTTTTGATGTTTATCACAAGAAAATAGCCTAATATTTAGGGTATATTAACAAATGTAACACTTGATGGACAATTAATTGATGATTGGATACAATGTGGCCTACACTCAAAATCAATAATTTCAATGGCTCAACGAATTTCGAGATGGAACTATTTTAGTGTATGTTTATTTTTGTCTAAGTTTAAGTGATATTTCAAAATTTTTGAAATTATTATCATTTATACTAATTTCTATTTATCAATTCATTTGAAGGAATCAGCAATCATTAATTTAATAAGTTTTGTGTGTATTTTTTCGCTTTGGTTATCTTCTTTATCGTATCTTTTTTTCCTTTTTAAATCTTAATTTTCATCCCAAAAACTTAAATTTATTGGATTAAATTTCATTTAACTAACTAAAGTGCTGCAAGGATTTCAGAGAAATAAAAATGGATTAGGTTTATATATGGGACATTTTTATGCAAATCATCTTGCTGATACTTTCTTGAATCTAAGTAATTGGGGTAAAGGACAGGTATTCATTAATGGACATAATATTGGCCGATATTGGCCAAGTATTGGACCTCAGGTAATTGATTTCATGTAATGATTAACGGTTTAACTGTCATTTTTAATTTTAAATATTACAATTTTTAAAGTAATTCTGTGTCATTAGATCATTTACTGTTAAATTCAGATTACTCTCTACGTACCAAAACCATATCTAAAACATCACAATACGGTTATTATGCTGGAATTGGAACAACCTGGAAATTGCCAGAAGCAATTTTGCATTATTAATTTTATAGATCATCCAATATTCAACTTTACTGAGAGTTAAAGTGATCATATATACCGGTTACTGAGAGCTGTGACATTTCCATTAAAATTTCTCATAAATAAATGTTACATTAAAAAAAAGAAAAATCTGATAAGTTATCTGTACCAAGTAGTAAACAGAAAATTTAAGATTAATCCAATGATAACATTTTGCAAAAAAGTTTTTGTTTATATAAAGAAAAAAGTTTAAATTTCATTTCTAAAAATATCAAATTGTATTGTATTGGAATCATTTACTATCAAATGTTATCATCCACACTTATTCCATTTCTTTAATTTTCATCTTTTTTTCTTTCCTATAATATTTTTATCTTTTCAAAAATCAAATAATTTAACTGTCAATATCTTTGTTAATTAAATATATTATTGAAATAATTATAGAACTCTAATCACTTTGACCACTGTCCATTTTTGCATGCTTCGTTTCACCTCAATTATTATTATTAATCTCTTTCGCATTACTTTCAAGCAAACCAATACTGTCCATTTCTTTTTGACATTGAATGACCAACATTTGTTCATCAAATATTCATTTCTGATGATTAATTTGCTGCTTTCATAATTAATTGTTTCAATATTTTCAAAATTGGATATAAATTATGATTTTTTAGAAATTTGATAAATAATTGAGTTTGATAAATAAATCATTTTTTGTCCTCTAAAAATTGTTTTAGTGATAATTCACTTCTTGTGATAATTCCATAACATTTCAATTTAATCAAAATGATCAGTTCCTGTTGCATATATCCATTACAATTATCACTGATTATTTTAACATTTGATTTATGAATTTCAGGAAAATAAAGTTTTAGAGAATGTAATATTTTACAATGAATTAAATATTTTGTCAAATTTTGAAGTAAAAAAAAAAAAATGACAGTTTTACATTTTTATTTAATTTTAAACAAAGGAAAAAGAAATCATTTCTTTAATTTTGTAAAATATTTTCAAATTTTAATGTTATATAATTCAACTTTATTATATTAAAAATTTGTCAATATGATTGTTAATTAAAAGATGTGAAGAAGCTAAGAACAGAAAGTTCTGCTAAAAATTCGATTTGAAAATTGGAAATTTTTTTTTTTGGTGAAAAACAAACAAGGGAGGCCGAGTAATGCTTGCATGATATGATGACAAAACACAACGTAAACATATAAATAGAAAAAAGAAAACAAAAAACAAAAAAGGAAAAACAATGTGAACATTTCAGGTGGCAATGAACACATATGTCATTTAAAATAAAATTTTAAAAATGGTAAAATTATGAATTTTTGTAAATTGAAGTTTTTTTTTTAAAATGGCAAAGAGTATTTATTGTTATATACGAAGCAGTCTGCTGTTGTTTGATGAAATTTAACAAAGATTTGAAATCTCTGCTACAGGTAGAAAGAGCAAGCAGAAATGATTGATAAGATGAAATATCATTGCAATATTATTCCATAATTATTTGATGTGATAGTTTTTCGATGAAATTTGCTATTTCAGTTTTGATTTTATTATCACTTCAAATGATAAGCGATGTTTAAGCAAAGAGAAAACAAATTTTTACTGATATTATTGAAGCCTGAAAGGTTAGTCTAACTCTTTAGATAGAACAAATATATAAGTACGCTTAAAAATATGAGAGTTAGAAGATAGTAATAAAACTTGGACAAAATTTATCAAAAAATTTTCCATTTTATTAAAATGTAATTGAATGGAAGAGATAATAATGAATTAAATCAGTTTAGCAAATCTCAAAAAACTTATTAATGCTCAAAGAATGAAATTATGAAAAATTGAAATTACTAATAAATTTGTTGTACTGAAATAAAATAGTAAACAAAATTGAATGAGTATAAGAAGAGAGTTGCTAGTGTATAATTTTAAACAAATTTAAGCAAATTTTGTAGGAAAGGATATGATTCTCGCAGTGATGGCATTAGAAATATTATTTGTTATTTATGAATTGAGTAAATAAAAGTGGCAGTGAGGAATACATTTGAAGTAATTTATGAAAATAAAATTTTGATCGTCTTAAGATGGAAAGAATAAATTGAAATATTTAAATTATCGAAAGACCATGCAATATTTACCAGAATGGATGAGAATAATTTCTGATGCTAAAACAGGAAAATAACATCCAAATGACAAGAAATTTTTCAAAAAAAAAAGATATGAAAAATTTTGAATTTTACGTAATTTTATGGTTACTCGAATTCTACTGGAAATTTTAACTTTTAAGCTTTCAAGTTTTACTGCTCATCGTTTCGAGAATTTGATACTAAACTATGTTTCATTATTCAAATTTATCAAAGGAATTGAATTATGATAAAACAAAAAAGCTTTTAACAATAGTCCTAACAACACTATCCATCCTGGCTTAATATAATGGAAGCAATAAAATATTCTGAAATTTCTTCGAGACTAAAATTTTATTTTTTCATTAAAACTCTAATTGATCAGCTTAGATGACAAGAAAAGAATTTATTAAAAAGCATTTATTTCTTATTTTTTTTTTGTTTCCTATCATACTTTTATCCAAAAATTTTTGCTTTCTTTTTGTTTTTTAAATACAAATGCAAAATTAGGAAACAAAATGTTATTTTCAGGAACGGAAAAGTGAGGTAGAACTTTTGTTGTAACAATTGGATTAGATGAAATTTAAGAATATTAATAGTGAATTAGTGATAAAATTTAGGCAAACTTATTATAACAGTATATTAGTAGGTCAAAATTAGGATTTGTTTATCAGTCTGAAAACAATCAGTTGACTTGCTGAACTGATAATTAAGCAAAATGACCTAATTGAGTTCACAAGAAGGTATATGCATAACATTCATTCGAAATTCTCTCAAATTTTATAAAAATATACATTTAATTTGAAAATATTTGAATTATTATCAATAATAAATCGATTAATTTCGAATTGAGTATGTCAAATAAAATTTGGAAGAGATTTTAAGTTAAACAAATACAACAAAAAATAAACTATCGAAATACGTAAATAACAAATGTTGAAAATATTATAACTCAAAATGCAAATTACAATTAACAAAAGAAAAGGCAAAATGTTGAACAAAGGCAAAAAATTTCATTTGATCAATATGCTCTGAGATTTCCAAGAATTTTACTACCCATTAAAGCAACCCACGAATTCGCTAATTTGAATAGGGTATTCTTGTATCACTCGATATTTGCCCGTATCATAAATCTGAAACAATTCAAAATTGAGTAATTTTACATGTCTAAAACAAATGCAATCGCTCAAATTGATAGTAAAATTTCATTCAGCAGTGGGTAGTTTTGTAATCAGACTTTTATTAGTTCGTTTAAATTAATTAACATGAAAAGAAAATTGACCAAAAATTTAGTGTAATTTATTGAAAAGAGTTTATAACTAATCTTTCTAGTAAGATTCTTTATCAGATAATGAAACATTGTTAAATTATGTGTGATAATAGAATAACTTTCACAATTAATAATTTATCATTTTCTATGTGTGATAATAGAATAACTTTCATAATTAATTACTTATCATTTTCTATGTGTGATAATAGAATAACTTTCATAATTAATTACTTATCATTTTCTACCTGTATTTTATTGGATGCTGTATAAAGAATGAAAAAGGTATCATTCTGATAAGTTAATCCAATTAAATCGCGTGGAAATTGTGGAAAATAATTTGTTGTTAAGCCAGAAAATGTTGCAACATTCCAGTATGCATCGTATGTTGCAAAATTATCTCCCTAAAATTTCCTTTAATAATTTCATTCCATTTTGAATATCCAAAAATGAAACAATTAAATTTAATTATAAAAATAGCAAAGTTTTTTTTTTTTTTTTAAAAAAATACAAACAAATGACAGGCTTCTTTTAATAAAATACTGACAAAAGAAAATGAAATGAATTTACTTCGACAAGAACTTGATTACCATCTACCCATTGAAATCCTGCACGGGGATATACGGGCATTTTTGTTGTTAATATCTGAGGACTCTTTCGAGCAAGCTGTAAAATTATTTGTCACAATTTTTAATTTCATTATTAAAATAAAAAAAAAAAAAAAGGTACCATTGAAATTAATAGTAGGAATACTAACATAGAAAACTTTATTCTTTCTATTCCATCGATATCGGTAAACTGTTTGATGTTCAATAAGTACCGTTACACCACTTCTACTATTAGTGTATGCTACGGTAACGGTACGTGGACCTTTTGGAAACATCTCACTGATAAGAAATGATGCTTTTTGATGTAAATTATCATCTCTCCACAGCTGATATACACGATCACGAGCAAATACATATGTACGACCGTTAAATGCTACAAATTTTAAATTTAAATTTTGAAATTAAAATTAAAACAAAACTCATACATTTGGATAAGAATGTCATCTTTATAGTTTTATCCGCAGAAATGAATTGAATAGTAAATAATTTATTTAAAAAAACATTACAAATTTACTAATTTTTTTTTTTTTTTTGAATGAGTAAAACTTTTGAGTTTTTTGATTCAGTGCTTTTTCTCTTTGTTTTGCAATGATATCAATTCACAATATTAATCAATACCACGTGTAACTGCATCAAAACGATGTGGACAATTTTTCACTGGTAGAGCAAGTGGTTGGTTTGGTTTTGGAGATGTACCTGGTGTTGCAACCTGTAATCTTTCCCAGATAAACTCTTCTTCGGTTACATCTGGTACAGGTGGTGTAGAGGTAGTTGTAAAAACATTAATACTATCAGTGATAGGTGATGTAGTAGTAGTAGTAGCAGTAGTTGTAGTTATTACTGTTTCAATATTTTGCCTCCAAAGTGGATGTTTGGTAGATGTTTGCCAAGAATTAGATGTCATTGAGGTATGCCAGTATGTTGGATTTGTTGAAGTATCCCAGTACCATAATGTTGAACTTTCCCAATAATTACTTCCATTGTATGACTTTTTTATATTTTCCCATTCAGTTTTGATTAGCTTAGTTGTTGCTAATTCCGTATCTGCTTCCCATCGAGAATTCTCGAGTCTTCCAGATTGTTGTTGTTGTTTTTGCATTTTATCAGTATCACTTTCACGATACATATTAATATTCCATTGCAATTCATCACCATCGTTATCATCCAACAACAAAAATGCATTGTTCGGATATTGTCGCACATGTCTTAGCTTTCTTAAGCGTATCTTTCCTGAAATCAATGTCAAATCCCTAATTATTTCTTTAAAAATATTCCATTAAATATTTTCTTTTCTTTTTTTTTTTTAAATAAATAATAATTGATTGTTTGTAGAAATTGCTTTTTTTTTTTTTAAAAAATAACCTTTCTCTTTTCGTTTTCGCTTCTTTTCAAATGGATTTTGTCCTGATTCAATAATCAATGCTATTTTTTGGGCTCTTGATAATTTAGGTATTCTCATTGGAATTTGTATCTCTTCTTTATCAGCTAATGATAAACGATAACGTCGGCGATAATTTACTGATGATGTATGATTTCCATTCTTAAAATTCAAAAGAAAAAACAATGAAATTTTAAGAATTCTATTGAATGGATTTTGGATTAAATCCATACAGTTGTTATAAATAAAAGAAAAAAAAATTTCAACTTAACAAAACCTAAAGTTAAATAATGCAAGTTAACTCTTCGAAATTACCCCATTTAGCGATCTTTGGTTAATTTTTATATCAAATTAAGAACAGTAATACATATAAATATAAATAAAAAATTGAAAATCGATATTAAAGCTAAAATTTTGTTTGAATTTTAAGATTGCAAAATGGAAATAAAACATAGATTATTACCTTTTTGAGTCGTTTTTTGGCATCAAATAGATTACTGGAACATACCAAATAAGTAAAAGCAGTCAATACGGTTGCACTGTACAACCACATTTTATATATAAGCTGAATTTTGTAATGTATATAAGAGCTAAGTTTATATGTTCTAATTATATTATCGCATCGAATATCGTTGATTATTGTTTTATTTAATCTATCAAAAATTTACAATTCAAAATGACAATTCGTCTCTTAGAAATATAAGTGTTTTTATTGATATTTTCTGACTTTTTAACTTTCTAACATTAATGTCCAATTAAATGAGTTAATGAGACATTCAACTAAAATAATGTTGAAATATTTGAAAATATAAGTTCCATGACATTTTTGCAAATTTTACGAGAAAAAAATATTAAAATTGATATTTGACAAATCATTTTTTCATTTCCAATTATTGAGGAAGTAGCTTTCCGATCGTCAATAATTGATTTAATTTACAGGAAATAGTTATATTTATCTTTCTTTAGAGGAAATTACGATTGAGCCGTACCGTTCGTTTACAATGTCAAAAGCTAAGGAAATTTTTCAATACTTTAAGAGGTCATTTCAAAACAAGAAAATTGAATTTAATTCCGGAATATAATCGAAATTAATTGCAGTAGTTGTAGTAATTTAACGAAAACTATTATATATAATTCAGTTAGCTGTAGCTTTTTATATTTATCAGTTAGCCTTCTGTATTTATCAGATTTCTTATCAAAATGATACATTCAAAGATGTATTAAATGATACAGCAATATGAAAAAGTTAGCAAAAGCTATTACAATAGCTAAAGGGGAAAGCATTAGATTTCATTGCAATGTTTTTTTTTTGACTATTCAAATTTAATTATTCAAAAAAGAGAATTTAAAAAAAAGCTCATAATTTTTTTGACTATTCCAAAAAATTTTAAAAATGAAAAAATATCACAAATATTAGAATAAAAAAAAAAAAAAAAACTACTAATAGCTATAGCATTTCATTTGTAATTTTTCAGATGTAATTTCCTGAATCTGATCGATCAACAATTAAATTTCATTAGTTTTAAAAAATTTGCATTTTAATAATAGCAAAATAAGATTAGATAGAATTAAAAAAAAAAAAGAACGATTGATGATAAACGATTCGGAATTTAATCAAAGGAAAGTATATGATTTTTTTTTTGATAAATAAAACGAAGATTAGCAAAAAAAAAAAGTTAGCATTGATTAAAAATGATAAAAAAAAACGAAAGATTGTAGTCTTATAAGATATTTTTTTACTTAACAATACTTGAGAGAAAGTAAAGTATACCACAAAGTGCTACTAAGATTATAAATTATCCATTTTTCCATAGTTTTTTTTTTTTTTTTTTAATCGGCTTCCTTTTTTTTAGATTTAGCACATTAAAAAAGAAAAGATTAATTTTTTTCTGTTATTTCAGAGGGTTGTAATAATAATTTTCTACATTCATATTTTAATTGTTATCTAATTTGATTTCATGTCAAAATTTAGTATTAAAATTTAAAATGTAACTTAAAATCTAAAAAAAAAAATGTGAAATGATAATAAAAATGAATATATTTTGCTAAATAATATGACGCAGATGATTAATTTAAGTTTACACACAATTGTAGTATTATTGAATTCGAAAAAAAAATTAAATATTAATAATTGTAAATTTGCAATATTTTTTTTATGCCTTCAGTGCTAATAAAATTATTGAAAATGAATTATCTATAATAAAATTATTAAAAATGGAAAAGTAAAGAAAGAAACGAAAATAAACAGATTGAAAATAATTTTCACTTATTTTATCACATAATCACATAGATCATATTAACAATTATGATAAGTAAACTATAAAATATTCTTCTATTTACTTTTTATTGCAAAAATTATTCTCTTCGATGTTCAATGCTGCAAAATATTAATAACTATTTTAGAATTTTATGTTTATTTTTCCTTTATTACTCTTTTTTTTTTCCTTTTTTTTGTTTGTTTGTTTGAAAAAAATGCATTGATGAAATTAATTGATGCATTTCAATTTTCGAATTATTAAAACTTCGTTAAAAATTAAAATTAATAAATAATAGAATTGATTGGTTGAAGGAAAAAATTTTTTAATTATTAAGCATTTTACATAATATTAGCAATTATTTTCATCGTTTTTTTTTTTTGTAAGCTATTAAATTATAAATGATTTCTGAGAAAAGAAAAAAAGCAAATGTACCATTTTTGTAAATGACAGATGTACAGTGAAAAAAAATATTTCACATGTGATTTTCTTTTTTCTTTTTCATTTAAAATGAAAAAGAAAAGTTTTGAAAAAGTTTTTTTTAGTAAATTTTTAATAAAATTTATTTTAAAAAAATCATCAAAAAATTTTACTTATTTTCAAAATTTTCATCTCTTCAATCCAAAAATAAAATAGAAATAATCAAAAATATAAAATTCAATTATTCAATGAACGGTTTGTTTGCTTTGTTTAAAAAATTTCAAATATCTGATAATTTTTATTTTATAAAATTTGCGTAATTAATTTTATTTTATGATAAATAGCAAAATTTTTACTTTCATTATTTCACAAATGTGAAATAAATAAGCTACTACTACCATGATAGCCTTTCTTTAAGCTATCTTATAACTTCTATCATTTCTTTTAGCTAACTGATAATAAGCTAGTTTATAACTCTTATCAAGGTGATAACATTCAAGCTTTCCTACACAACAATATCATCTCTTCATCTTCCTATCATATAAATTCAATTTATTTCAGTAGTTAAAAATGATATCTCTCTTTTTTCTTGTTTTTCAATTCTTTTTTAATTCAATTTCTATTTCAAATTATATTTGTTTCGTTATAAAATTGCATATTTAAGAAAGCAAAAAGTAAGTTCATTTTTCAAATAATAATGTAATAAATTTCAAATATTAATGATAATAAAAATAAATTTAATAAAATAAATTTGAACATGGAATAAGAATTTAAAATTTCTGCTCCTATGAATAAAATGCTCATATGACTTTAATTAAATTCAGAATAAGAAATTGTTGAAAGAAAAAGACGAAATAACTGCTTTCTAATAAAATATTATATATTTAAAAAATAGAATCAATAAATTCCTTTATTAAAAAAAACGGATGAAAGGAATATTTGTTGATAAGAATTTTGTCTACGAATTTTATCTTTGATTCTTTCTCTAAGGAAATCCAAAAAAAAAAGTAGCAAAAAAAAAAAATAGTAAATTAATATTTGAAATTTTTGTGAAAAATTGAAACTGTTGAAAAGTTTCCTTTCATTAAGTAATAAAATATTTCATGATGAAAGGGAAAAGATGATTATTAAATTTTTAATTTCAATGTTTTGAAATGAAATTTCTTCTTGCAATTAATCAATCAGATGATAGACTTTATCAGTTGAACCTTATAATTATCCGTCATCTTCTCCACAAAATAATATTCCTCCAAATAAACATATTTCATTCAATTATATACCAATTAAAAAATTATTTCACATTGCTTTTTAAATACAATATACTTATTTCAAAGAAATTATGAATAATTTAAAAAAAGAAATAATTAGTTGAAAGAAAATAATTTAGAAATAAAGTGATTGGGAACAAATTTATATTTCGTATAAAATTTAAAACTGAGAAACTATAATGTCACAAATAGAGGAAAAGAGACGGAGACAGAGAGAGGGAGAGAGAGAGAGAGAGAGGTGGGAAGGAAGGAAGGAAGGAAAAACTTTTCTCTGTTTAATTTATACATTAAAAAACCGTAATCTTTGATATTACAACGATATGAAATATGGGAATGGAGCAAGTTAAACGAGACAACAACAAATCAAAAATTTGCATAGAAATGAGAAAATGATTGAAATGAACGATACACAAATACCACTACAACAAACAATAATGATGCTAAGAGGAGGAGCAAACTTATTTGCTTATACACCTACTATTATCATCATTATCATCATTACTATTATCATTATTGTCATCATGAGTGATTAATAGGTGGTAAAACTTAAACAGAAGAAATAAAGAATAGATTCAATTTTATTTTTGTTTTTTTGCTTTTTTTAATTTTTAAATTTACTTCAATAATTTTAAAAGAAAAAAATGGATGGCATGGCTTATTTGTATACATTTTTTTTTACAAAATTATATGGTTTATTTTCAATATTACTTTCTACTTTATTCATTATTGGAGAGAAAAAGAGAATGAGAGAGTAAATACATGAAAATAAACAAAACCATGAAGAAACCTTATAAGAGTTAAATAATTAGTGGTATTTTTCATTCAAATATAACCGCAGTAATTTAATACAACAATTAATGAATTAATAGTAATAGAATTAACTCATTCAAACCAGATAATCAATTTTTTGAAATCAAAAATATCGAACTATCTTTATTAGTGGCATTTCAAAGTTGTTAAGAAAGAAAAACTTTATTAAAAATTGATGGGATAGAAGTTGTCGTTTATTATTTAATGACAACTTATAAACTTTTTAGGCGACTAAATTTAGCTGAGGCTGAGTGAAGATTTTTAGAATTTTAGGTTTTAAAATATTCTTTTTTAGAATTCTTTTTTAAATTATTCATTTAAGTTCTTATAAATTGGGATGGACATTCTCAAAATATTATTTTAAAATGCTCTAAGCTCATTTATTTGCATAGTATGTATGACTTTTAAATGTTGAATCATTGCTTGATTAAACTAAAATTCTATTGACAAATGACATTTTTTCACCTTCCTATCATTTAATGCCTCTTTTTTTTTTTACTTTTGTAGTCTTAAATTTTACTATATCATATTTATTTCTATTTAATTAAAATTTTTTCATAACTCCAAATAAAATAGTTGGAAAAGTTCCGCAATATTCCAAATTTCAAATAATATAAATGCTATTAAAAAACTTTAAAACAAAATTTCAATTTGCATAAATAAATATTTTAATTGCTTAAAAAAACCTTTTTTGTTCATTTCCAATCATTTTTTTTATTATAATTGAATTGTAATACTATTATTATTATTTTAAATTTTGATTGCTAACTTCGTATTTCTTTTTTTCTATTCACTATGCT